CGTGAAATAAGCCGTGGTATGCTCAATTCATCGCACGCGATCAAATGGTTAGACCTCTCTTGCAAAGGTGTGCTCGATGGAGCGATGCGCTGGTCGCCAAGTGGCGCGGGAAAAGATGATGGTTTGAAGCAATCCAGGAACCCGGGACCCCTTGTCGAGCGTTGAAAATGAGAGCCTCGAAGCTCTGACAGTTGTTCCGGGGCTGGTTGAGCAAGGAAGCCCCACCAGTTAGCCATCCATTTGGATCGTCAAGGTTAAGATAGTGGCTTTTGATTTTGAACAAGGGCGCCTGGGCTAAAAAGCTAATAGTTGCCAGCTTTATTGGGGGGCGGGCGCGAGGAGAAGCCTCGATTGGCCAATTGCTTCCGAATTGACTCTCAGTGTCGTGCCAGCAAATCGGTAAATTCCCTCGATGTGGATGAGCTGCAGTTTAAGTTTTGCATTATATTAGTGCTTTGGTATCGTTTGTTGTTATTATTATTAGCCATGACTATCTGCCTTCCCTCGTTTCACATTCAAGTCCTCGCGGCCCGTTGATGCTATGCCAGAGTTGCGCCATGCTTAGCCTAGGAATGTACCTACTTCAAATGTGGCATGATCATGTCGCGAAACGTGGAGGGAAGCAGTGTATTCAGGATTGAACATCATGATCTGAGCGAGATTTATCCACTTTCTGAATTCAACGAAGTAGTTATGCTGGTTTCAGCACAGTAAAAGATTTCAAGCTTCTGAGTATCTATTCTAATTTGCCGCTGAGGGAAGTTTTTTTCACTCTTACTTAAATCTCCAAGTGTGAAAGTACCTGCCTTCTCATACCTTTATTACTACCGGTCTTCCATGCCTCTCACCAGTATGTGGCGACGTCGTAGGGGTAACCCCCAGTGAACTTGAAGTAACCCTTACGTTACTTGCTTTTCTTCAATGTTATATAGTATATGTGCATATCTGGTGTTAATAATTAGTATCTGGATACTAAAATATATATTTACCTATGGATTCCCAGGCTCGGTTACCTGCGATCTTGCAACATCCCATACTATGTAGGAGCCGCATGGACTAGGGTTAAGTGAGCCACGCTCCTCATTTATTCCATTGTGCGGAAGCCCCCACCGTGGCTGCTACGCTAACGTTACGCAGGCCGGTGTGCTTTATCCTGGTGTCGTCATTTTCGGAGCGGCATCAGAGCGGCTGCACTGCCCAGTTAGCGAAGCACGTAAATTATTGCAGTCTCGAAAGCTGCACAAACAATCCAAGTTTCGTGCCCCGTCTGATATTTGGTCCTCTTGCGACGCTTCTTTCGATCGAGCAAAACAATCATGACAACCTCTGAACCCTTCAAACTTGACGAGGACCGCCTCAAGAAGGCGTTTGACTTCTCTCACCTCGATCTCAATGCTATACTTAGGGGTATTCAGCTAACCCTAGTGGGAGGTATGCCATGACTGAGCAGGAGCAGATAGACTGCTGTAAATGATGATGTTGCCTGATGCTGACAGTTACGGTTCGTTCTGTGTTCTACGCGTAGCACATCGAGCATTACAGAACCCCGCAATATTCACCAATGCTCATTATAAGCAAGTACTCATAGCCGTGGGTGCTGGCGTTGTTATCCGCCTTATCATTGCCATTCCAGTCAGTCGTTGTCCTATCAAATACATTGTGCTACTCTATCTAACCATGGTCCTACAGATATTGGGCACGAAGCTATTCATAAGAGTGCTTGCCTTCTTTTTCGACCTTGACCAGACCTCGTGGGATGAGAATTTGGTCACCGCGCTCGAGTTGATCGCCAACCATGTGCTACAGCTACCACTCTTTCTAATGGCTCTGATGCGATACATAACCCCTACTCTGGATAACCTCTTCATGGACTCTCTTCAGTGGGTTGATATAACCTACGTCCAGAAACACAAACATGAAAATCCTGACACCTTGCGGGACATGTACTATCCCAATTTGCAGCGGTACAGCAAGAAGGATGGCAGCACTCATAGTACAAGCACCGCCGAGGCCGTTAGCATGTTCCTTTATCGCTTTTCCAGGAAGGCCGGGTTATCACTCGCTGTCTTCGGCTTAACGTATGTTCCCTACCTGGGACGTCTGGTACTCCCTGCCAGCAGTTTCTACACATTTAAAAACGCTGTCGGGTTCGGTCCCGCATCCGTCATTTTTGGGATCAGCTTATTCTTCCCGAAGCGCTACCTAGTCATTTTCCTGCAAACTTATTTCGCCTCACGCAGCCTGATGCGGGAGCTTCTCGAGCCATATTTTGCACGTGTTCACATGACGAAACAACAGAAGAAGAACTGGTTCCACAGTCGAGAGGGCCTCCTCTTCGGATTTGGTATCGGGTTCTACACTTTGCTGCGGGTTCCATTGCTTGGAGTGTTGATTTACGGAATCGCCGAGGCTTCGACGGCCTATCTCATTACCAAGGTGACTGATCCGCCGCCGCCACCATCACAGAGCAACAATTTTGCTGAAAGTCAGCAAGTCTGGAGGAATAAACACGAATTTCTCAGCTTATCACTTTTTGACTTGGATTATCTCCAGGTTGGCCATCATGCACCATCGGGCAATGTCGAAGAGTCGGCTACGAAGGGGTCAACGAATCCTCCGTCATACGATGAAGCCACGCAAAGTAGGAAGGATTTGTGATATTTGTATCGTTTTCCAGTGTGAGCAATGGTACCAATTCCAAATTTTGAGCGGTTGAGCCCAAATGCAAGTCGACATTATAACGCTTCATTTATTGAACAAAGTGAGACTCGTAGATGGAAGGCTCGAGTATGAAAGCATGGCTTGATGCCAAGCAATGGATTCTTAAAGCTGGACAGCTTACTGAAAAGTAAACATTGTTCGAATCATGAAGAAAGATCCTGGAATGCAAGAGATTAAGGTAGTAACTGCCGGACGTAAGATTAGATTCTTGATAAGTTTTAATTTATTTGAGAATCGAAACAGGGCATTATTTTCATATTGCCTAGCACTCCGCGTTAAAACACCTTTTTGGCATGCAGGCAGTTTATAAACTACCCCTGCCACCCTTTCTCCGACCAACCTCACCATATTTGGTATAATAAGCTGCTCAAGCCTCGAGTGCCTTCACGAAAGCTAAACTTTCATGGCCCTCGACAACCTTAGACAATGGAGCGGAGTGGGTTTCCGTGGCGTTAACTACATTTGACACATGACGATTATAGAGCTGCGCCACCTTTAACCACTGAGCCTTTTCGTTCCTACTCGCCGCTGAACCCTCCCAGACCCAGATATCAAGTCCAGTGTCTAAGAGAAAGACATCCTTGCTATCGAGGTCACTCCTGCGGGTAGGCTGGTCAGCTTTGATGAGATCAAAAGACAGCTGACCCGAGGAATCAGAAAGGCGGAATAGCCGACGTGGGCGACGATTCCCAACCTGTTGTGTCGACCTGACGGGCCGAGCGGCCTGAAACTCATTGGGGGCCGCGTCCTGGCCTCCGAGTAGGGAGATAAAGGTGTGTGATCTAGATTCCAGCTGGGAGATGACCTCGACGTCGACGTGCTTGGCTTCGGTCATGTCATGGACGACCTGCGCTGCCTTGGCCTTCTCCATGGGGCTACAATTCTTGCCTTGCCAGACCCATATCTTGCCCGACTTCTCCAGAACGAATACGTCGCTATCGTTAAGGCTCTGGCACGTAGGTTCGACCTCGTGCACCACGATGGAGTCTGTGCGTCTTGCTGAGGGATGCTTGAAAATGCGCAGCAGTACGACTGTGTCCTGGGTCTTCTCTTCGGCTTCCACATGGGTGAATCCTGAGCGCACGCCACCGGAGAGGATGGTAATGCGAGGGAAGAGTGCCATAAAGTCGTCCGAAGGCTCAGACTGCAGCTCGCGGTGCTGGGTGGCGACACCGTGTAGATACTCATCGAGCTCGACGGTCTTGTAAGCCGCCGTCCCAGCCTCATCCTGCGACGTTTTATTGCCGAGCCAAAAGAAGATCTCATGTCCCAGCTTTTCTTGACCATCCCTGTCTCCTACTTTGTACGAATGCAGGATAATGTAGCTGTCGCCCTCGTGGAATTGGCCGTACTTGGTTTTAGGCCAAGGGATCACCTGAAAGTTCTCAATGCGCCATACGAACAAGCCAGGGGCCTGACCGATACCGCCCTGGTTCCAAGCGGGCTCAGATGCTGCAGAGTTATACTTGACCTTGTGATCAAGATCCGACCCGATCAGCTCGACGTTGCTATCCCTCCAGTCATACTCCTTGAGGTGTACCAAGCCTTCGTGCGGGGTCATATCTGGTTCTATCAAGCTAGACTGAAAATAATCAGAATGAGAAGATGTTTGCTGTGTAATAAGCGATGTTGAGTAGTGAGCAAGAATAACCTAAAGGAGTCAGTAGTTGCAAGAGGTTGATGCCAAACTAACGTTAGGTGTTGAATTTAATTGATCGACCGTATTGGTTACCTCCAGCTTTTGGTCCCAGTGCACACCTAAAACACCAAACTGGATCTAAAAGAGGAGACGCAGCCTTGTCTGCGCCCCCCCTCCTGAAATGATGTCAGGTGCCAATTCGGCACAAATGCAACACTCGCATAGCATCCCATCCAACCCAAACTGGGTCGCCTTGGCTGCACTTATCCAGGGTAATGAGGACGTAAAACTACCCATCAGCGCGAGTTTCCTCATGGCTTGGTTTCTAGGATACACTAGTCATCATATGAGTCTAAAGTCCAAGTATGGCTGGGAAGAAGAAAAAAAAGGGAGATGTCGGATTTCAACGAGCTCCCAAATAGATCACGGCACATTATTATTGACAGGCGCCTTGCAGGAGAAACAAGCCGGAGATGCTAATTGTTGAAAAATTGTTAAGAAATTGTTATGTATAGCAAGGACTCAATTAGTTGAAAAGTATCTAACATCATTTAGGCGAAGTAGACTATGACTTTTGCCGTGTAGGTTGAGGGATTATGAAAAAAGAAATTAGTTCGTAGATCTACCAAAAGAAAAAGGAAGGACCGCCTGGGGGTCGAACCCAGAATCTCCTGATTTCGTGTTAATCGTAGTCAGACGCCTTGCCATTGGGCCAACGGTCCACAGCTGAGAAGCTTGTTAAGCCTCGCTATTTGTTGGAACGTTTCGGCGTTATATTTGATTATGTTGCGTGTGATCAACCCAATGGCTTTGGTCGCCCCGCTAATACGTAGGAAGGTTCTCAACTGAAGCACGCCACGCCAGATGTTATCGCTAAGACGTGGCGTTTCTCCTCACAATCGGCAAGAGCGATAAGGATACCTACTGTACAGTAACATAACCCCGCCATGATTTTGGTTCTAACGTTAGTTAGAACCATCCCACCTCGCAGTTGGGTCATAAGTTGCGGCCAGGAAGCTCGTGAACTGACTCCAGGAATATTTGCACCATGACGATCCTTTCGCGATGGTGTCTGCTGCCAAGTTCCGCCAGTCCAAGAGCTGTCCCTGAAACCGCTGCTTTCACCCACTGAAAACAACGTCCTCCCTTCTTGACACTACAATCTGTAATAGATGCATACACATATACAAACTAAAGCCCGCCACGTTCTCTGTGTCAATTGCCGCCCCCCACCTTTACCTAGTCCCATGCTCAACACATCCCGATGCACGTAAGGTGCTTTTGTTGTTCTTGGTCCTGCTTCCTAACCATTTGATCAACTGTATACTACTACCGCTCGCATTCTTCCCACATCGCTTCCAACCAGGAAACCTCAAATCTCCCGCACTAGTACATTGTCGCCTACCCCCGCCTCTGGGAAAGTGACCACGAATCTGCCGCTATCTCGCCATGCCGATCAAGATCCGATACAGAGCCCCCTCGGGTGGGGGAACATTAGAGTTGGGCGAGAGTGCAACGGTTGCGGACCTTTTCACGGTCGTCAAAGAACAAACCGGATCGAGCGACATTACCGTCAAGTATGGCTGGCCACCGAAGGCATTGGCTCACGACCAAGCGGATCTATCTGTGGTCTCGCTCGGTTTACAGCGAGAGAGCTTGACTATTGTCACAAATGAGAGTACTCAAAGCCCTGCAGCATCCGCAGCTCTGCCACCGCCTTCTGCTCCTCCAGCACAGGCAGCATCGTCGCTGACCAAGTCACTTCCTCCTGTGGATGTGACAGAGAGACCTATAACTGTCACAATGGTATCTGGTACCTTCCTCGGTATGTGCCCTTGAGGTTCCATGGTTCCCATGAGGTCGGCTGCTGATATTCCCATCTTTACATCTTTATAGTTCTACGTGTTATGCCCGACGATAACTCGTGTATGTTCACCGCGGTCGCTGGTGCACTCCGGGGAACCAACTCCGGCCTTGATGGATCATCTCCGGAGAAGCTTCGCCAAATTGTAACCGACCATATCCTTGCTAATCCCGAAACGTACAACAAGGTAGTCCTTGAGAAAAGCCCAGTAGACTACTGCGCAAATATGCTTCTGCCTGACGTTTGGGGAGGTGCAATTGAACTGGGTATCATATCCGAGGTCTTCGAGATAGAGATTTGTGTAGTCAACGTCAAGGTATGTGCTCGAGGCTCATTTGCTCCTGGAGGAAGCCAGATTGGAGACTAATAATCCATGGTGACTTAGGCTGGCAGTATCATAAAATACGGTGAAGGGAAGCACAATCTCCGTTGTGTGCTTGTCTGGTCTAACATCCATTATGATCGGATTGCCGAGATTTTTGATGAGTCTCAGGTCGAAGACGAATTTGATGTGACTACATGGAATGTGGCTGATAGTGATAATATTCTGGAGGCATCGAGAACACTATGCAAGAAACTTAAGGATGAGTATCACTACTTCACTGATACCAGCGATTTCGTTGTTCGCTGCAACCAGTGCGGGTGGATTGGACAGGGTGAGAAAGCCATTGTCATACATTCATCTAAGACTGGCCACATTGCGATCGAAGAAATTCTGGATTCAACATAAGATTTGTGGAGCGGGTGTTCAAGATTTATGTGTCGTCAGACGGCGTTGGGGAATACCAAATCACTATGCTATGGCATCTTATCATTTGAGGGGATCTGCGTGTATACTGGATGGTGAACAGGTTATTTTTAGCTGTTCAAACAGTTTACGGGATATACCTCTTTATTTATCCTTTCGTTGCGTAGTTTTTGTAACTATCATAGCCCGATATTAGATAGATCTCGGAATGATTGCCTATTCTCACAAGGTAGCAAATTGTCCATATAGTGAGTGAATTTGTTTCATGAACACCCTCCTGTGGCTCTCATTTGTGAGTCAGCCCACCTCCAAAGCTGTGCTCACTGTTTCGACCGCCGGCTGTAACTTTTCCTTCGGTTATACCGGTTTCGAAGGCACAGGTACCCATGTCTAAGGCTTTTGCAGGACCTGATGGTGAGATGTCAAAGTCAAAGATGTCCATCGGCAGTCCCAAGGTGGTACAAGCATTAGGTATGTCCACAATACCCGCTACATGACCCTGTATAGGTGCGCACGACATCAATAAGTAGGATTGGTAATCATTGTAACCAAAACGGCGCAGGTACTCAATGCAGCCTGGTAGGGCTTTGCGTCAGCACTCTCTGCTGTACATTGCATCCACGCCGGCATTGAATGATTTTAACGTCAATTCAAACGCGCGAGCCACCTTCTCCCATCAAATGTAAACTTACGTAGACTGGTCTGCCGATAGGCAACTGCAACATCCATGTAGTGTTGCTTGCCATGCTCGTCGACTGAGAAACCCTCAAAGTAGATGTGCCTGCCGGGTCCGAACTGCGGCTCCACAGGTCCTGGGATGTAGATAGGCGACTTGAGCCCCAGATTTGATATGCCGTTCTTGAGCACCTTGAAGTTAATGGTGATGATACCGGCCATTTCGATGGCACCGCAGAATGAAATTTCTCCGTCGCCCTGGCTAAAGTGCAGGTCACCCACGGAGAATTTGGCTCCTGGGACGTGGACTGGTAAATAGACCTTGCTTCCACGGCTAAGGTTCTTGATGCTGTTCATGCATTGCCCTGGTCAGTTTCTCTCCTTCATAGGCGCAACCAAACGGACAGGAAGGGGTATGTTTCGATATCCACCGCGCTCTCTTCCTCACGTTCGTGAACGTGTATGTGTTATTGTCCTGAAACTTTTTTCCCATCCACTTACTCGCAGTTGCCACCATGCTCGGGTCTTCCGGGCACTGTCCGCGCCCCCTCTAGGGCAACCTTCTCCTTGAGTGTGGCGTCGGCGGCCCCAGCGTGCGCGCTCTTGGGCTCCGGTGGTAAGGCTACGTCACGCTCCAGCTTGTTGGCCGCTATAAGCTCCGCCTCACGCCTGTTCCAAGTAGCTAGGACCTCGGCTGAGGGCGCACAGCCGAGAATACCGGGATGAATGAGGCCGGCGAACTTGACATGTGGGATGTGTCGTGAGGTGCAGAATATTCCTTCAAAGTCCCAGATTGCTTTCGCCCTGTATTCCGAGGTAAGTTTGTTGGGGAAAATGGTACGTGAAGGAGAAAGAGAGTGTTAAGGTGGAAGGTGTGGTTCCAAAATTCATGAAGCCTTACGCTGTAGGATAGATTTCATCTAGAAAGCCACCTCCATTGTTCTTGTCAAAGATTCCAGTAAACCCCCATGGCTGATCCTATATAACCAAAAACAATGCTAAGTTTGTGCTTCCGATCTAAGTCCCAAAAGAGGGAGCTACCAATTTCGCCTGATTGGTTCTGGGAGTATAGGAGGCTGATGCTGCAGGAATGCTTACCTCAAATGGCTGTACGTCCATGATCTCCACCAGAAGCAAATCACCTGGCTGGGCTCCTTCGATTTCGAACGGCCCAGTAAGGTAATGTACTTTGGTGAGATCTACATTACGGATATCATCAGCGCTGTCGTTATTTCCAATTTGTCCGCCGGTCCTATTGAATGGTTAGCTTAGTATAGTTGACAGGGCAATGCTACCAGAAGATGGACTACGGAGTGACTTGGAAAAAAAAAATTGGTCACTAAGAGCAGATATATTGATAAAAAGAGATCATACCAGTCAACACATTCGATCTTGACAGTCTCTCCATCTTTGATGGTTCCGGCAAAGGGGACTGATTTGTAGATCAGCTTTACAAGTTCTTCACACAATACAAAACCGGTGGATTTGGAGACTTGCTGTCAGGGTGCCATCTGTTCTTTTCAACGTTCAGCTATTTGGAACCATAAAGTTGGGAGACTTGTGAAGCTTACATGGAGAATCTCCTGTTCCGCAGCTGGCTTGTCGAAACTGACCTTGCCAACAGTTCGGATTCCCGTGAAACCCATGGCTGTTTATTATACCGAGATTTTTGGATTGAATAGCGTACAGTGTACAGCGTACTATATAGCTTGTGGTATGGCACAATAGTGTCTTAAAGATATGTTGACCTCTAATTCAGATTACTAAACCCGCACAGCAAGATTCTCCTCGGATACCCTTTTATAATCTCACATTCTACCCCGCACCCACAGCTTCGCGGGTCCTTAAACTCGCAGATGCGGATGCGGATAATGGATGGGATAGAAGCACCAAGAGGCATCCCTTATCTGGGTAGCACCTGATGGTTATCTGGTTTTTGGACCTCTTACTATGCAGATGTGGCCTATTATGATCCTGGTTGCTGCTGCATACGTTATCTGACAAGAGCCAGTCGTAATCATTCAACGCAATCAAGGTGCAGCTGGGCTTAATTTCAAAACGTAATTATATTCATCGCTCCTGAAAGCAAAATAGCCGGACCATGGCAAAGCTGGACTTGTCTCCATCGAGTTAGCCGGACTGCGGCACGATGCAACGGAAACAAAATGGCCTGTGCCCCAGCTGTTATATTAGAGATTACATATGACGTGTTTGATACACACGCACATTGTCTACATAGTATGTCCAATGCCAGTGTATGGTGGGGATTGCGGATCTTACCCGTCGGAGATATCTCGCACAGTTGATAAGTTCTTCGGCACTTAGTTTCGCCAGAACCACATTCCCGTAGTCATCCGGCAGGTATAAACGGCCAAATTTGACCAACGGATCTACTGAATTCGCGAAATAGATAGAAGTTTGTGAGCTAGATTGCA